TGGTCGTAACCCGAAAAGTTCGTTAACAGAAGCGTTCGTAACCCGAGGTTCCACTGTATCTACAAATTGCTGGAAGAATAAAATCTGACCTCAAAAATGAGGAAGAGACATTAAGAAAAATGACAGAATTTGATATGCTTATACAGAGCCAACCGCTTATTAGGCCGCTTACATTAAGTCTTAGTTGGATATGATATGGAGACAGAACAAATAAAACATGTATGATAAATTGGATGCAAAACTTCAAAGAAACAGTCCCAGTACAGCAATGGGAAGAATTGTGGAACAAATCTATAAAATTCACTCCAAGCTATGGTTTGAGGGAGAACTGGTATAAAATGTTTTGCAGATGGTATACAACTCTGTCAGTTATTGCCAAAATAGAAATCATACAGTAATGTTGGAAATACCACAAAACAGAAGGAACATTCTGTTCCATGTGGTAGATATGTAAAAAATCCCAAAAATATTGGAAAGATATACACAGCAGTATTCAGAGAATTTTAGGGATCAAATTCAAAAAAACTACATTTTTTTTTATTAAGTATAATTCCAGAACACATCAATAAAAAATAACTGTAATTTATTAAGATTCATGCTTACAGCTGTGAGGACAAACTTTGCACAACACTGGGAAAAAACATAGTACCTGCAATATCAGATTGGGAACTTAATTTTGGAGAATATGCAGCAATGGTGACAGACGTTTAACTAAATTTAAGCAAGAATATATTACATATTACACAGCAAGGTAAATGCAAATATTTAGAATATGGTTTCTAAAGCTTACACCAACAGTTTCTGCAAATCAGCTGGAGTACAAAGAAGGGGGAAGTCAGAAATTATTTACCTAAATTATTTTTAGGGGTGGGGTTTTTTTTTGTCTTTCAGTATTGAAAAAGTCAATACTTTTTCAGTATTCATAAACAATACAGTGGGAATTTTGGCATTAAGCTCAAAAATTTATACTTCTTTTTTATATCATAAAAACAATATAATATAATCTTGGTATCTTTTACTAATGTTATATTGAGCAATTGTATAACTTCAGTAATTATCTGTTTATTCATAGATAATATCTTTTTTGGAAACATACCTTTATTTTCAATAAGACTAAAAGATAGTAAGCACAGAGTACTGTAGATGCACTTTTAAAAGAGGGAAATGAATATATCTATATCTGTATATGCTGTATTATTGCTAAATAAAGTTTTAACTGTTAAAAGAAATAGCCACTTCCCCACCCCTTCCCTGGATTGTGGTTGAGACGTCCCCCTTCTGTGTCTAGCCAGGTTTTGGTAATACAAGCCAGATTGCCCCTCTCCTCCAGAATGAGATTTTGAATGAGGAGAGTTTTATTACAAGCCAACCTGACATTAAGCAGCAGCAGCCTGAGGCCAGGGCTGCCAAGAATCTAATGACCATTCCTTGGAGTTGAGAATAGGGGGCTAGAAGGTAGAATTGTATAAGACACCAAGAGTGCCCCCGTCTTGCACTATATCTGTGTCTGCCTGTCGTAGCCAGAATGCCATTCCCACCCCAGCCACAACAGATCACTTCCCCTCCAAACTCTGCCAACTGACATGCAGGATATAGGATCCCATCTCTATCCAAAATTTCCAAGTCAGAATAAGGAAAAATCTGAACTTTACAGATAATGGATTAAATTAAAATTAAAATGGAACTCATTGTTTATTGTTAATTAAAATTGTTTTGGCCCTTGTTTATTTCTGTTAGAGCGCCTAGGATCCATCTTTTCCCATTCTCATTTATTAACAAATCCCAAGAGCTTTGCCTCTATTCAGATATTGGCCTTGTTGACATCACACTCCCTGTACCATAATGTGTTTGCTTGTGTGTGGCTTGAGATGCTCTGTGAACCCATCAATTGTTTATTCAGTAAGCCATGGTTTAAATGTATGGTTTATTGTGATATGTAAGACTTAGTTATTTTGTTATACGTTTGCCAGCTCTTCTTCCTTGTTTGCCTACCAGTGAGTTTGGCACACCAGTTGATTACATCTGCTTATTTCAGCTGTCTTGTGCTTTTTCCCACCAAATGGGTTAGGGTTAGGGTTATCAATCGTTGGTTGACTGTTTCCTCTGAAAATAGATGAACCTATGCCATAATCACAGCAAGGATATTGCACCAACTGATTACCTCTGCAGTGGGCAAAAATGTTTTGGATGTGAGATTTTAATGCTAGTGTGGGCAGAAAAGGAACAAGAGCCCATTTGTCGTCTTTTCTAAATCTGTTGTAAATATTAGAACTTGCTGCAATCAGAACTAAAAATCAAAACTAAAAAAAAACCCTAAAGAACACAAACTATCAAAACTTGTTCAGAAGTTTTTGTTACTTAATATAATCCCATTTTTTCTATTGCTTCCACTATTAAGGGAAATTATACAATAATATAGGGAGAGTGGGGAAGTTGGTTCCCAAAGATTTTAAACAATTTGACATTTCATTTGCAGCCTATCAGGCAAGCCTAGATCTTGGCCAGGATCCTTCCAATGACTGCAATGACAACCAACGGGAAGTGCGCATTGTTGCTCAGAAAAGAGGTCAGAATGAACCAGTGCTGGGTGTCGATTACCGGCAGCGAAAGATCACAATTCAGAATAGTAAGTGATCTTTGGGATACTAGAGGAAAATATATTAGCATTCTCAAAAGTCCCTTCCAACATAGTCTAACAAATTGTACATGTTATGTAGTTCAGTATGTTTTTGACTCCTTGTGTCTAATGCTTTATTTATCAAATTTGTATGGCCACCCATGACACAAAAAGTGACTCTGGGCAGCGTACTACACTTAATTAAAAAACCAATAAATATATTAAAATATTCATTATAAAACCTATAAAAAGCACAAGAACAGGAGAGGATGATGTTAGCCACAGTAAAGGAGCCATCGCAAGACTCCCTGGTCCTCTGATGGCATAGCCAGGTCTTGAGGTACTTGCGGAATGTTAAGAGCGATGGAACTAATTTCATTTCTTGGGGGAGAAGATTCCACAAGGTGGGCACCACGGCAGAGAAGGCCGCCTCCTGGGACCCGCCAAATGTAGTACCCTGGCAGACGGGACCTGTACCGTGCCTTCTCTGCCAGATCTGATGGGATGGGCAGATATAATTATGAATTTGAATTGCAATCCAGATTTGATTCTGTTATCGTACCATGATGTATAGAGACATTTGAATTTCTGGTCTAATAAATCTGAAGGGCACCAAGTTAAAAAAAAAAGCAATAAGCTATGTTTGAATGATTGCTACTAGTAAGAATGTACCAAATCAGAATTTATGCAGTTCAGGAGAATTCTGTAGCATCATTATGTCTCCAAGCATACATTGTCCAATAGATTGTCCTTAGGATTGTTTTCTTTGTTTGCATTAATCTCACATTGGGGAACTAGCACAGTGTAAGATAAACCTCCAATTGCATTGAGTCTTGCCATACCTAAGCACCATGGAAGACTACAGTTACTGACTTCCTATTGCTCAAAATAATTATTTTTGTTATTCAGAAATTTATCTAATTGTCTGATACCAGCATTGGTAAGGTTTCATTATGGTGTTTTCCATTTATAGGAGCAGATCTTGTGATTAATGAGGTGATGTGGTGGGACCATGGAGTCTATTATTGTACTGTTGAAGCTCCAGGAGACACAACTGGTGATCCAGACAAAGAGGTCAAGCTCATTGTTTTGAGTATGTAGCAAAATTTTAGAATAATTTTCTTTTTTTCAGTGCCAACTATGTTGTTTTGGAATAAATAATGGAAGTAACAAGAGGATTTGTACTCTGATCCTCAAGATGCATGCTGCTAAGTTCAGATAGAAACTCCTGATGAGTACAGTTGGATTGCAGCATTAGATTAACTCTGTGTGTGTGTGTGTGTGTGTGTGAGAGAGAGAGAGAGAGAGAGAATGATCCCCAATAGAAGTGATAGCAGCAATTATGTGTTTTAACATGTACTTTTTCCAAACATGGACAAAGTAGTATGGGTGGATCCTCTGATGTTAAAAACAGTGTGCAGATAGGGAATAGCAAACTTCCTTCCTATCCACAGTTTATGCCACAATTCCTCTATATTATAATTCTGATGTGATTAAAGTAAGTCAACAAAAGTCTTGTCAGCCCTTTGAGGCAGGCCAGGTCAGGAAACGGACTCCCCAAGAAATACTGGAATTCTACTTTATTGATATAGGCTTGACAGAAACTTAAAAGCCTGACAACATTTTCCCTTCTCCCTCATATCAAAGAGAGTCAAGGCGGGGTCGCTTTAAGTTTCTTTCTAATGCCTTCTTCTCTGGCTGGGTTTAGCTTATGTGTTATTAACTGCTGTTGCATTCCTTGTCCAAGGTCATCTCTGTGGTTTTCTACACATCTCCATGATCTCAACCTCTTTTACTGGATTAATGCAAACACATATTGCTGTTTAGATACTTTGGGACAATGTTATCAGCTCTTACTTCTATAATCATTACATATAACAAGGCATTAAAACAGAAAAGATAATGACAGGACTGACATTTCTAATTAATATTGGAAGGGAATGTTTTGAAACCACATTGGCTGCAATAAATTATCATAATTGCATTAATAGTTTCATGGAACTGATGTTCATGGCAATCACTTTCCTTCCTCTTTTCTTCAATATAATTACAAGAGATTTTTGTTTCTAATATCTTACATATGTTACTATTAGCATCATATCCCATTTGTAGTTTGCGTTAAACATTTGTAACTTCAAATGTTGTTTTATCAAGCTAGCTAATTTCAGTAATACTAAATTGTATGTAATTGAAAAAGAAAGGAAAAGCTTTCATTTCCTTCCTTACAACCACACTGAAAGATGTGAATGAACTGAGATTTGTGCACAGTCTAGTAAACCAGAATTAATCACTCTATCTCAATATAAGCACTTGATATGAAAGACAACAGCAGGAAAAATTTATCTTGGACTGCAAGATGATCCGCTGATACGTAGGAATAGAGAAAGCAACACATAGTGAATAGTAATTGGCATGGCCCCTCTTCTACTTGATGCAGACTGGCTGACAGTAATATTGATTATCCTCGGTGGCCTCCTCCTCTTCATGTTAATTGGAATATGCTGGTGTCAGTGCTGCCCTCAGCATTGCTGCTGCCACGTGCGCTGTGCCTGCTGCCCAACTCGCTGCTGCTGCAATGAAAAAGGTAATCCAGAAAGCAAGATTTCTGTCCTGCGCGCTGATACACATAATCCATGAAAGAGATACACTAAGTGTAGGTTGTTTCCATATGTACTTCAATGGCTTCAGGATGTCAGAGCCAAAAGAACTACAGTACAACCCAGTGTTAAGCATGGTAAGAGTGTACATTATTCCAGATTTAGTGTCTCAGTGTTTAATTTGTCCAGTTGTTTTGTATCCTTAAGAAGATATTTAGAGCACCCTTATGTGTTTTTAAAAAAGTATCCCACATAAAAATACCAGTAGCAATAAAGTTAATATAATTAAAGTTTTACCTCTCCAGAAAAGGCTTTAATTTCTGTGTCCACCAGTCTAATTCAGGCAGGCACATGAGAAGGACTTCTGCAGATTTTAAAATGTAGACAAGTGGAATGAAGGCAATTTTTAGTGACTTGATCCCTATACCTTGTATCCATATTTTTGCTTGCGGTTCCTTTTCTCCATATATTTATACCATTTGCAGATCTAAGCCAGAGCCAGTTCAGAATGAGTTTCCTCAGCTGCGAGGCTGCTTTACCATTGCTGTTTTACTTTTCTTTTTCTTTTTTTTCCTAAACTTGGAGGTGAGTGAGTTTGCAGTATTAGCATAGAAGAAATGCAGCAGGCTTCCATTGTAACCAAGGTTATGATGTGGACAGACTGAGGATCGCAGAAGAAATGATTGCCAAAGTCTCAGAAATCTTGTAACATGAGACCTGCACTTCCCTCTGTCCTTAAGTATATAGGACAGGCTTTCTCAACCTTTCTACCCTTAAGGAATCCTTGAAATAATTTTCAGGCCTCAGGGAACCTCCACATAAAAGTTGCAAAAAACATGAAAACTTCACAGTACAATTCATTTCTAATCTACACAATCCATGTTTTACACCATTTGCAATAACAAAGTGGAAGGCCAGTGGCTAAGCTGCAGCATGTAAAAATTCTCGCCACTGCAAGCACTACCATTGCACAGCAGACAAAGTTCAAAAAGTGATGTTTTTGGGGGGGGAGGGGTCAATCACAATCTCTCATGGAACCCCTACCAACCTCTCACACAACCCTAGACTGTATTTGCTGGGTTTCCTATCATATAATCAAGGCCTAATCATAATTTCTTTGTTCCTTCAATTAGGTAGATTTCTGTGAAAAGGAATGTAAGGGACTTTGGCTGGAATGCAAAGGTTGAAGGACCTGTCACCTCCCTATTGATAAAACGAACATTACAAATGTATCTTTAATCTACTTTAAAATAAGTGAAAAGGGACCTGATCATCATTAACCTTGAAGTGTAGTGGTTTATTATTGTAACTCTGCAAAATACAAAACAATTCAATTGAAAGGTACATGAGGGCGTTTAAATGTACTTCAGGTATAATATTGTTTTTTCTATTCTCTAGTCCTGGAACGACACCACTTCATGAAACAGGCTCGACAACTTCTTCCATGGATGACACACCACTCCCAGTCATCTTCATACCAACTAAACCCACTATTACAGAGAGGTAGGACTGTAGTCGGAGGTTCAAGGGATAGGGGGCTGTCCCTTTAGTGTAGCATTTGGTTCTTCACTTGACTTAGAGTGTTTGCTCCATGACTTCCTGATGATGCTTTTCCCAGAGGCACAAAAGAGTACAGTAACAGAGAACTAATCATTCAGAAGTTTGTGTTTTTTTATTGTTTGAAGCTATTTGTCCATTGGGGACCAGATAACGCTAAACACTAAATTTGCTATCTGGGTCAGATTATCATTGCCTTGAGCATTTGCTCTCTTTCTCATGAACTAGATTTCTACTTTTATAACTATTAAACTTGAATATGACCAGAAAATATCCAGCCAAGGAACTGGATCTTTGGGGAGGGTGGGGTATGTGTATGTGCTCTACAATGTTTCTGGAACCTTCTTATGAATGGACATACCCAAATAGTGCTGGGGAACTGCAAAATGTTCTTTATTCAAAATGATTCAAGTTCAAAACAATCATTTCACATTTAAAATGGGTTCTTCCAATCATTCAGCAAGTGTTCCAGGCTTGAAACAGACCCCAGTGTTTCACTTTTGAAACATTTTGCATATTCTTACTGAATATATTATGCAAAATGTAAATATATTTAACATCTACATGAGTCCACTGGGTGAGCTCATCCGTTGCCATGGGGTGAGGTATCTCACCCCATGCTGATGATACCTAATTATACATCTCTGCCCCTGGCAAATTAAGTGATGCTGTGAATGTCATCCTGGTGCCTGGAGGCTGTGAGGGTCTGGATGGGGAAAAACAGGCTTTGGGTTTTGGGGCCTTCTGGTGCTAGGGCTATGCCATCTTTGGTACTGGATGGGGTCGCACTGCCCCAGACAGACCCTGTGTGCATTCTGGGGGTCCTCTTGGACTCACGACTCCTGCTCAAAGAGCAGGTGGCAGTCGTAGCTAGGAGGGCCTTTGCACAGCTTCGTATTGTGCACCAGTTGCGCCTGTTCCTAGATCAGAGGGACCTACTCACTGTCACACATGCCCTAGTCACCTCCCGTTTGGATTTCTGTAATGTGCTGTACATGGGGCTATCCATGGAGAGTATCCAGAAGCTTCAGCTGGTGCAAAATGCATCAGTGCAGGCAGTTATGTGTGCCCCTAGAGTGGTACATGTTACACCTCTGCTTTGCGAGCTGCACTGGTTGCCACTTTGCTTTCAGGTCCAATTCAAGATGCTGGTTTTAACCTTTAAAGCCCTTCATGGCATGGGGCCAGGTTATCTGAGGGACCACCTCTCCTGGATTACATCTGCCTGTCCCATTAGGTTTGGTAGAGACGGCATGCTGCAGGTCCCGTCTGCCAGGGAATTATATTTGGCAGGTACCAGGAGGCAGGCCTTCTCTCCCTTGGTGCCCGCCTTAGGGAATCTTCTCCCCCCAGAAGCGAGGTTAGCTCCATCCCTCTTAGTATTCCGCAAATCCCTCAAGACCTGGCTTTGTGATCAGGCCTGGGGGTCCCAGGGGACCAGAAAGATCTTGCAATGGGTCCTTATTAATATTATCCCCTTCTGTTTTATGTGCATTTATAGTTATTTTTACGTGTAATTATTTTTTATGTATTTATTCTTTTTAATTGTAAGCCACCCAGAGTCACTTTTATGTGAGATGGGTGGCTATATAAATAAGATAAATAAACTTATTTATTAAATAAGTAAAATATATTTATTTATTTTCAGTTGTAGGGATTTTTCTTCTTTATTGGGAGGGCTTGGATTCATATAAAGCATTCTCAATATTAATAATAACCAATGGCAGTTGGTCAGTTTGGGCAAATAAATAATAAGGCAGTGCCTCCCCAGCCAAACCTGCATCCTATTCCCTCACAGAAGCTTTTCTCAATCTGTGATTATGAGTTACTCATGCTCCTGAAGTCATCTCAAAGTCAAAAACAACTCCCCCCCCACCTCTCAGCAAAAGGTTTAAATATAATGATTGTATTAGAAAGGGCACACTGAATCAGTAGTCCACGGTTTTCAGCAGCTTTCTGTATTTGGCTCTGGAAGACCTGTCTCTACCAGTGAGAATGCAGCTTTTTCTGGTGTTAGTTAAGCATTCTTCTTCAGCCAACCGTCTTGGTATTGGTTTTTTTGCACCAATACTGCATGTTCTTGTGTGTTGTGTACAATTTTTGAAAATTTGTTGCCTTTGAGACTTGGCCATATGCAGGAATAAATAGCACAGTGCTGAATCAGTTGAGAGAAGCTGCCCTTTTCAGTTCGTGTTATGAAGGTCCTTTGTGCTCTGTGTGAAAGTAATTCCTTACTTAAGTGTGTTGTATTCAGGAGCACACCAACTATCAAAACAGGAGAAAGATTATTTGATTATTAAAATATTTCTATTTTGCTTTTCTATCCAAAGGCACTCCCTGTAGCTAATAATTAATTGGAACATTTTATGTTTTCTGTAATTTACGTTCTTTAGATGTATCTCTCCAAAGCAGCCAGCCGCTGATGCCACCCCTTGCTCAAGTGCCCTCTAGCAACAAGATCTTGGACCATCTTGAATCTGAGATCAGGAACCTTAATCTTTCTCAGCCTATACTACCTTCTCGACATGTTGGAAGCAGTCAGCATCCTAGCATCCTCTCTTCTCTGGGTTCAGAGATTGTGGATCGCAGAGTAATCCAGTTGCCTCCTATCATTGAGCGTATCCCATCCTCTCAGAGAACTAGCAGTTCATCACGGCTGGGGAGGTCTACACATACTCCAAGATCTCGGAGCAGCACAAATGAAGAGAGGGAGGAGAGGAGATGGAGGCGTCGTTCATCTTTGGATGACGATTGCCCTTCCAGCTATGATCAGGAGCTATGGGATAGGCATAGAGATCACAGAATTGAATCACAGAGAAATGGCAGCCGTCATGATAGGTACCGGAGTTCTACAACAGATGTAGTCCCCATTTCGCATGGCAGAAATAGTCTTAATTCCTATCTTGAGACCAGAAGAGGGCATTCTGGACAGCACTACTCTGAGAGAAAGATCCAGCATTCACAGCGACGAACATATCGACAGAACAATAACTTTGGTCGCCAGGACCATGGACGACATCGCAGGTCTTCTCCATCATCCTCCGGGGAGTCATGGAGCTCATCTGGGGAACAAGAGTGCTCCCAAAGAAACAATAGGCCACATCGTCAGCACCATTCCCCGGACTGGCTAGACGAGAAACCACCTAGTTATTGCTCTGTTGAAGTTACCCCAGCCAAGAACAAGAAACCCAGAAAGTCAACAGAACAACAGTCGGTAAATTGTGATTAAAACTAGCTTTTATGATTATGTGCATTATTCTGTCCTGATACATACATGCTGGTTTGTAACAGAGACAGGAAATAGAGAATGGGATACAGATGGGGAAATGCTGTTTCTTAGGGGAGGTGCTGCCACTGGGAGGGCACAACTACAGCGTCCAACACGATAGTATTGTTCGATAGAAGGGACCTGGAACATGACCTCTCTACTAGATCTGATGGGGCAAGCAGAAACAGTGGGTGGAAGGTGGTCCGACATGTATCCTGGCCCTTTGTCACAGAGGGCTTTATAGGTAATGACCATAACCTTCAAGAGAAATGGCAATGCATCCCATAGTGTAAAGCACTATAATGTGTTCTGTCCAATCAAAGAGAGGCTCTTTGGTGCTGTCAATTCAAACAGCTTCTATAAAAGCTCAGAATTCAATAACTGTTGAATAGCATCCTTCACTCCAATGTGCAAGGATTGGATGGCCTCAAATCATGCTAGTATGTAATGTATGTAAAATTAATAGTCCTAAATGATGAAATGAATGGCTGCTGCCCTGTCAACTCTTACTAATAGCAGTTTTCTTTTCTTTTCTTTTTTTTCCTTCTAGGAAAAAGGCAGTTCTCGCAGTGGGATGAGTGTTGTCATTTAGCCTCTTCACTCTGCCACTGTATAAAATGAGATTTCTGTGTCTGCCTAAACAGCAGATTTTCATTCTGGCTTTCAACATTACTCAACTAAGCACAGCAGGTCATCAACAGGGCTATTTCTCCATCACCATCAGCCTTCACTTTCTTGTGTTAAAAGTTTCTAACTATTTTTGCACTTTGAAAAATGTAATAAGATTTTTTATTTTACAAACTAAATATTGGAACATTGCATAGATGATTTCTTTATCTGGATCTTAATAGGAGTACAAATCTATAACAGATCATTAATTGGTGGAATAGTTTCTGTTACTCCAAAAGATAACACTTTTAACCTTGAATAATGAATTACAGAATTCAGTCTTGCTTATTATACATATTGAGTCAAAAGATTTCTAGAAAATTGTGAGTCAGAAAACTTTCAGATACTAGTGTATTTGTCTAGTATCCATCTTCTGTATAAGTCTTTGAGCTACATCATTTGATGTTGAAAAAAGTGAAATCTAGCCTATTTCATGAGGTTTGAACATTCAAAGAAATTAAAAAGTCGATAAAAGTATTTTTACTGTAACATTGGAAACAATGTTGGGCAATAGGCAATAAAAATACCACACAGTTGCAGTGTACTTCTAGTACAGGTAGTCCCCGGGTTAAGTACACCCAGTTTACAGATGATCCATAGTTAGGAATGGAGCCTGTTGTAGCAAAATTCAAGTTAAATACAAAACAATTTGAGTTAAATACACAATGGTTTGACTTAATTACACCATACTATTTATACAGTATAATACAATAATACTGTTGCAGCTTACATACAAATTCGACTTAAGGACAGATCTTGGGAACGAAATTCGTTCTTAAACTGGGGACTCCCTCTACCTCAAGAAAAGCAGTTAGAAGGACATAACTATCCATTGTTGAACTCTCTTCTAATGAGCATTAAGACATGCCCAGTCACACTCAGACTGAATAATTCTCAGTCTGAGACAGATATTCAGAACTGCTCGAACTACTTTCTTTATATAAAGAAATAAGGTATAAAGCAGAATATTGCTGGGTATAATTTGTTGGATTGATACTCTTCAACTTTTTTATTAATGATTTACATGGGAAGATGAGAATGCTTATCAGATTTGCAAATGATACAAAACTAGGTGGGGATTGCTAATATGCTAAAAGAGAAAATTCAAAATTATTTTTATAGATAATGTACAGCTAGAAAGCAGGTAGGTAGTAACAGAATGAAACAATGATGGCAAATACAAAGTTATTCACTTACGAAACACATCAAATGCACAAGGTGATAGTGAGCTTGATAGTAATACTTGTACAAAAAATCTTGAAGTAGTAGTTGATTAAAATCTAATTAGGAGTCAGCATTGTGATTCGGTTACAAAATAGGCACATTGAATTTAAGCTTTATTAAGACTCCACCTTGATTACTCTGTTCAGTTTGGGCACTATGTTTTACAAAAGATTCAGAGAAGCTGAAAGGAGCAGAGAAGGGCAGTGAGGATGATGATGGGGTCTAGAAACTCTTTTCTTACAAAGTAGGGCTGAGGAACTTGAATAAGCTTAGTCTAGACTATTTTACCTGGACAGAGTATGCAATGGGATTAATACTCTGCCCTCAAGATCTTTACATCTACCATGCTTCCTCTGATATCCCCACATTCTCTAAATTGAGCAAGAAAGTCAACAAGAGGCTGGTATGTAAGTATACTTGAATGGTAGTAGAATTGTTTATGAAGTCAGGGTCCTTGATAAAGCAGGATTCCTGATTATGTGGAGGCCTCTAATCACAATAAAATTTACAATGGGGGGGGTCAAGAATGAGGGAATTAAGAGAACATATGAGGCCCCATTCCTCTTATATTAATTTATCTCAATTATAGATATAACATCTATATAGGGATTATAAACATGTATAGTATTGTAACATTCTGCACTGTGGAAACTGGCTTCTATCATTTGTCAATTTAAACACAGCCATGTTTGAAAGGAAGATTAAATAAATCATCTGAAATATGGTGTCTGGAAGGTTTGTATTAGTGAGGCCTAGTGTTGAGGTGACTGTTTTTCAGATGGATTTTGAATGAACTTTTTATGGATGGAATAGAGGATGTGACATTGTTTGCTCATTGTGTGTCCACCAAAAGGGAACTTACACCTTACCTGTACCTCCCTTACTCTCTCTCCTGAAGGTGGTTCTAGTTCTGGTGGTGGCAATGACACTCTGTTCTTGGTGAACATAGCTGGGACGATGTGTCGACCAGGAAGCAAAGACAGAGGCTGATGTGACAGTGCATCAGGCCATGGGGAGAATTTCACTAATAATTTCACCAATATCCTTGTCTGGTCTTGCTGGCCTCTTGGTCAGTCCCCAGAGGGGAGCAGGGATCTGATCCTTGAGGGTGTATGTAGGCTGTCAAGGAGATGCAACTGGAGTTTCTCTTTCCTTTTTCATTTTGGTAAGCAGAATGGGCCTACCAGAAGGATATTGGTGGGCTATTTGATTACCAGGAGATTTTTTTTTTTTTTTTACCTACTTGGAGGTCTCTACAAATGGTAATCTAAGGCATTAGTGGAGGAGTCTCCAGTACTGGGAGCTGGGTAGGGTCAAGGAACTGTTTCTAATCACCCTGCAGCCACCCTGGCTCCCCATATTTGAACCAGGTTGCTGTTACATCTATATCTGACTTCCAGGCTACTTCCAACATATCTCCATCTTTTGCTATCTATGGAGTGGAGTACTTGGGGTGGATGACCCTCAGTATGATCTGTGTTCTTATGCAGGGACCAGGATATGGAAGGAAAAAGGATGGTGGATGGGAATGGGTGGGTGGTGAATAGGAATGAATGGGTATGGACGCTGCTAAGTGTCTGAGTACAAGAGCAGTTAGAGTAGTTATTGTGGTTGTTATGAGGTTGAGGATGTTTGAATGTGCTCTGTGGCCTTGGAGGAAGATAGTGAGCTTGGGGGGTGGAGGTGGGAGAAGAGAGAATGGGCAGTTCCCTTAAGGTCATGATGGGGCAGGAAGCGGAGGATAGGCTGTTCGTGGAGATGGTGGAGCCAGTGGTTAAGACCTGTCCCATCTTCCAGCCCTCAGTATTCATATCTAAGACCTGTAATGAGCTGTATGAATAACCCTGAGGAGCAGGAGGAAGAGCTGCAACCAAAACAACGGTCAGATAAAAGTAATTTGAATCCAAAGCAGAAATGTAATTTGAGAAAGCATCTCAAATTGAAGATAAAGGGAGGAGGCACATTCAGACTTGCAAGATCCTGTTATTGTAACCTTATAATAAAAATAATATTAACATTCATAACTTTGGTTTCCTAGTCTGGGGCCTCTAAGGATTTGATGACCTGGTCTACCTTGAAGGGCTGGTAAGACCAGGTCATCAGATCCTTGGTTGCCCTAGACCCCAGTTGTTGCTGTTAAACACCAAGTTGCTAGGTAATAAGACTTGATGATCTGATTATGGATGAGGCTGCCAACCTGATACTATTATTAGATTTTTATCCTGTCTTTTTTATATATAATTCAAGGTGGCAAGCATACCTAATACTTCTGCCTCCTATTTTTCTCCACAACAGCAACCCTGTGAGGTGGGTTGGGCTGAGAGAGAGTGACTGACCTGAAGTCACCTAGCTAAGGAAGGTCTAGAACTCACAGTCTTCTGGTTTCTAGGCCAGCGCCTTAACTACTATACCAAACTGGCTCTCTACATGTATAATCAAGACCTGGGTGAGTCTGGAGGGGGAGTTCTCTTCTTGGAGATATATAACTGTCCCAGTTCTCCTTGATGTCTCAGCAAATTTTGATACCATAGGCCATGATACCCTTCTGGACTATCTGCGGGGATTAAAAGTTGAATTTCCCCTTTCAGGACTAGTATGCAATTGGAGAGCCTTTGAATTCAGTTTTTGCTTGAGGAGCAATTGGCAGCTGTGGCCAGGAAGGCGTTTGCACAAATCCATCAAGTATGACAGTTGCATTCATATCTAGACTAAAAGACCTTTAAGACAGTCAGTCATGCTTTTGTTACTTCATGGCTGAACTGTTGCAATGCATTCTACATGAGGACGCCCACTTGGAAGCTGCAGCTGGTGCAAAATGCAGTAGCATAGACAGTTATGGTCATACCACTGCATGCCTGTATAAAATCTGTCTTTCATGAGCTGCATTCAAATTTGGTTATTGCCTATAAGGCTTGGTTACCTGAAGGACTGTCTGTCTTCTGTGGTTGCTGTCCATCCAATATGATCTAATAGAGTTGGCATGCTCTGGGTCCCATCAAGCAGTGCCACTGGAAGTGGGTTTTCTCTGTCGCAGCACTGGTCCTTTGGAATGATACCCCCCATAGGTCCCACCCTGCTTTTATTTAAGCAACTCTTAAAACCAGGGTCTTCCCCCAGGCATAGGGCCGGAGTAGATGGCTGAGCCACCCAGTGCCGTAATGGTATCAGGCAGCTTATAAATCCAATAAATAAAAAAATAATTGAATACTTACATAATTAATTTTTGAGAAAAGCCAGTATTAATTTTGGAAATATTCCTTGCATAACAAAACGCTACTGTAATTTAAATCATTTCATTTAGGAGTTGTCTGTTCAGAACTTCAGTACAAAATAAAAAGCAGAAAAAATAAGCCTGGAAAAATTTAATTCTGTTTTCTCCCCCTAAAATATTTTATGTCTGCAAATCTAGGGTTTTCATAAGATTGTTGATACTTCTCTTTTGTCTGTGGGCAGATCCATTTTGGCCACATGAGGACAAGCATTTGGAGAGCTGAAATGATGAGGTCCTGGTATAGAAATAGCCTCTCTCTGCAATATCTGACATGGTTAGTCTAACTCAGATTGTCACAAGTGCCACTTAAGGACTAGTTCATTAGCCTGAAGGCTGTTAACACTAAAGCCATTTGTATACATTGATATAAAAGTCTCTAGTCACTAGAGTAGTCCCTGCTGCTGTTAGCAGAGCGAAGGCGTGTCAGTGGTAGGAGGAGAGCAGACAAGTGAGGAAGAGCAGACCTTATCACAGCACCGCAGTGCAGGGCTAGGAGTGAAGCTGCCCCTCCTATTCCCAAACAGAAATGTCACTTTTTAGCTCAACATTTGTGGTGAACCCAGGAATGCTACAGCATTGTACATCACCAGTCACCCGGTGCTCAGCTGTGGCCCTGGGGAGAATCCAGAAGCTGTGGCCCTATTTCTGGCGGTTGTCTCCTGCTGGGTGTGATAAGTGAGGAGCTTTCTATTCTGGGCCACGAATGTGCCAGCACCCTCCTTTTCCATTAGTCTATCCACCTTACTTCACATGAAAAGGGCAGGGAGCAAATTCTACGGCCTTTTAGCTTGCCAGCTAAGCAACACGTGCCCTGCAAGGCTTACTCTATCCTCTACTTACTGTTGGGGGCTGATTGAGGCTCTAAGTCACAAAAGTGAAACTGGCCCAGCATGTTCATATGCATCTACTTATCTTATTAATGGACTATAATATTACTTAATGATGGATAACTTCAGAGTGAACTAGGTCCAACACTAAGTCTTCACATAACTATTTTTGCATGAGTGAATTGAACCCTGGATATCTACAGTATAATGTGAGTAACACACAATTCTTATGCTGGGAAACAATTCTATGAGTATCTGTGAATCATTAATTTTTTCTATTGCAAAATAACTAGGGAAGAGCAGCTTATTCTAATACAAGTCCTTATCTCTGTATAAAACAAATACTACAAATGAACTATACACTCAAAGTTAATATGTACTGAATTTCTTTAGCATATAATCTGATAATAGTACTGGATTGTAAGACACTTTCCAAGTGATCTGTGCATAAGCAATTATTAAATGAACTATGTAAAATGGTACAATAATGAAGGTTTCAAATTCAGTTTAACCAAAATAAAGAGACTGCAGTTTCATCACTATTTGTTGGAAATTGGTTCACATGTGTTCATGTATGTATTACTTGATCATTAGCATGCAGTCCAGAAACAGTTCAGTTTAATTTGGCATCAGGAAATGTGGAAGTTCTGTCCAAGAGGCAAAATGACGTCAATCACTATCCCTCCCTGGTTAATAAAGTTTTGTAGTTAAAAAGGGCATACTCAAGTACACTGTCCTGGGCCACTTGTAGGAAAGGATGTGTGTGTGTGTGTGTGTGTGTGTGTAGTTATCTCATATGTATGCTATTAATTAAAATTATAGGCATAATGAACAACATATATGAGGCAGCCCTGAACAAGAAACATTTTGAATTTATAATATGTAGGGAAAAAATAATCTTTATCATAAAAGCTGTCTCTTCTCAGATATATATAGTGGTTGTTACAATACTTACACTGTATGTTGTAGATGACTCCTGTTTTTTCTTCTTGGGCTACTCTTTACATTCATAAACCCAGAACTAGTGAAAGAATCCATGTCAACAGTACTATACAACACACCCGACCTAACCAAATACACC